CTCGGGGACCAGGCCACGGCCAAGATGCAGGGAGCGCCCCCCGCTGTGAAGGCCGAGAGGAGGACCACTGTGCCCTCGGGGCCCCCTATGAGTGCGTAATGGGGGGAGGCCCTGAGTCTGTGTGGGGGGGAGGGTGTGAGGTCAGAGGTGAGTGCGTGCTCTGCTCCCCAGCTGCCATCCTGGAGCGGAGCAGCGGGCTCCATGGCAACAGTGCTCGCCGCCTGGAGGTGGTTCGGAACTGCATCTCCTACGTGTTCGAGGGGAAGATGCTGGAGGCCAAGAAGGTGAGGGCGCTGGGCGTGGGGGGTGCGCTGGGCCCCAGCTGGGCCTCCTCACCTTCCATCAGTCGTGGGAGCTGGGCTGGCAGGGAGGGCGGTGGGTGCCAGGGCTCAGGTCCCTCCAGCTCAGTGCGGTTCAGTGAGAGCCGTTTCTTTCAATTTTCTCTTTTAAATTCATTGGAGGGACGTTGGTTGATGGCTCATGTTTCAGACGGGCACTGTGACACGTGGCCTGTAGATTGCGGTGTGTGTGTGCCCAACCACCCAAGGTCAGATCTCCCATCACCATATACTTGGCCCCTTTATCCTTTCCTACGCCCCCACCCCCCAAAGGTTTCTTCAGCCTCCACAGAAAGTGTTGACCCACGTGTGTTTTAAAAAACAGACAGAAAAGGGAACCCACTCACTGCTTTTGGTGGCGCTCGTGACAGCTGGGGGTCTCGGGACAGCTGTTGGGTTCCTCCTGCCACAGCGGCACGGGCAGGGGCGGCAGCTCCTAGTCGTTTCCCAGTGAGCAGCAGGCCTGTGCTTGGTTCTGTGCAGGAGACAACCTTATGGGACGGGACTTGCTTCAGTGGGGCTTTGGTGCTCAGTCGTTTCCCAGTGAGCAGCAGGCCTGTGCTTGGGAGGAGGCCCGGCGAGCTCGCTGTGCGCTGTGCTGTGCTCAGGGCCCGTCTGCGCCCTGGCTGATGAGCGTGCAGCCTGCGTCCTCCTGCCTCTGCCTCCGCGCGGTCGCGTGTGGAGCCCTGAAGTCCCAGCCCCTGGCACACCTGGCCTGGACGCCTGAGGGCCCTGTGTTTACAGCTGGGCGCCCGCCCTCCAGGGCACAGTGGGTGGTCCCTGTGTAGTCAGTCACATGCCCTCAGCCTCGGTGCTCCATCCCCAGCT